TCTGTCAACGTATGGGGATGGATAAGTGCCGAAGGCCCGGGCGTTTGTTATCATGTAGAGGAGAAGTTAACAGGATTATATTACAAACATATTATTGAGCACACAATGTTGCCATCGGTGATCCAGAGATTCCCCAACAACGACTTTATCTTCCAACATGACAATTGCCCGGTGCATACGAGTAGAATTGTTCGAGAATGGCTAGAAGAAACTGATGTTAATGTTCTTCCGTGGCCTTCCCGTAGTGCAGACTTTAACCCCGTCGAAAATGTGTGGGCAGAGTTAACAAAGAAACTAAATGAAAGAAACCTTAGACCACGGAATAGAATTGAATTATGGGAAGCAATTGAGCAGGCATGGGAAGAGCTTGTTAACTATAACATGAGGGGATTGGTGCTATCTATGAACAGAAGACTGCAAAATTGTATTGACAAGAATGGGGCTTCCACCAAATATTAATTATTATTTATCATTGTTTATCGTTATTTAATATAAAATAGATTTAAAATAAAATGCATATTAAAAAAAAAGACTTCTTTATTTTCGTTATTAAGATCATAATCCATTTTATTCAAAAAAACTGTTTTCTATATTTTTCATTTTGTAAAATATTTTGATATTTTAATTTTAATCTACCTATTCTAGCTAGTACACCACTGGCAACGTCACTTTGACGTAAAAGGTGCGTTTAAACGAAGTAAAAATTTAAAAAATGGGCTCCTAGATACGTGAACCTGTAAACTATTCCGTGACCGCAACTGTACATATTTTTAGTTTTTTTTAATTGTTCTTCGTTATTGTTAGTAGTTACTGTTTTTTGTTGTGCAGTGACTCAGTTTATCATTTTAATTAAAATGTTTGAAATTTATAACATTTGTTTAAACTAATTACCTTATAATTTGATACTTCATTATGGTTGTTCTATTTTTGGTAAGATTTGATCGTTCACTAAAAATTTAATAAAAGTGCGACAACATTGTCGCATATGTCATGCAAAAATTAAAAAAATCAAATGAGCCGTATAAACACTACAGTAAAATGAAATAAATGGTCAATTACACAAATCACCCTGTTAATTAATAAAGAAGAGGAGTTGACATTTTTTAGTGGTCACATGATATGCTCCCTGAGGGACTCTACATATGGTAGAAGTATGTAAAGTTCCTCATGACTCACCCTGTATGTACATGTAATATAATTTTTTACTAATGGAAGCAGTCACTTTTAGTGGCCATTTGTTATTCTTCAAAGGCGCCTCCATACGAGGTAGGTGTATGTACAGTTCTGAGATGGCACTTAAAGAAGAGGATGTAGGCGATGAATCACCTCTATCATAGCACTAAATTTTAAAAACTTACAATAGAAATATTCCATCATGTTTTAAACTAATATAATACCACCACCAATAAAAAAACACTAAAAAATTTATTCACATAAACCCCCAATAACCACACCCAACATCAAAATCCTCACAAAAATAATTAAAAAACCTAATACATTCACAACATTCTATTATACACATTTATACTCCCAACCCCACCCACACCCACCAATCACCACTTAAAATACCAACTAACCCCTATTATACAACCAAAATTCTTAAACAAAAAAAAAACAAAGAGAGATACCATGAGATCATCTGACCTATATACTGTTGTGTGTTGTGTACCAGTGTCATATCCCCCAAAATTTACAAATAACCACACTAACCACTTCTAGTTTACTATCCCCATCTACCCTACACAACACCCCATTTCAACCCCCCACCCACACTATACTATCACCACATTACTACTACCCCCCCATAAACCCCCTCACACAAAAAACTACTTTCCCATTACCTCATCTCAACCCCCTCTAATCTCTTCTCACCTCACCCCCCTAACCAAAACTCTATCTCATCCGCACTCGACTCACACTCTCGTAGACATGTTACATACCACTCAACACAACCATACAATAATACCCTCACACACTCGCACTCCAGCATCACCACATCTCACGCACACGCACACGCTCACTCGCTCAATGAGTGCGCACTCACCAGCGACGTGAGCAAATAAAGACAATCATAACACGGTTCGTGATAGAGAGATATATGGTGTGTGTCCCTAGAGATTAGTGATTGATGTATTGAGGAAGCTATAGGTCCTGCTCTAACAGTAAGATCCAAAACAGGGTGGGTGACAGAAGAAATACTGAGACTTATGGATCAAAGAGAAGTCAGAAATAAAGATAAAAACGAATACAAGAGGATCCACGCAATAATCAGGCAGAAGATAAGACACGCGAAAACACAATTTCATAGTAAAGAATGTAATGAAATTGAACAATATGAAAAGAAACACGATACATTTCATCTGCACAAGAAATTAAAAGAGGTCGCTGGAAACAAACGGAAACAAGTATCTTAAAGTTTAGAAGACAGAAACGGACATAGAATATTAGACATCAATGAAAAGTTAAAAGAATGGGAAAACTACATTTCTGAATTATTTGAAGATGAGAGAGTAGAACACTATACACCAATTGCTATATCAGGTCCATCTATAACAGAAAATGAGGTAAGACGTTCAATACAAACTTCAAAAAATGGAAAAGCACTTGGCCCCGATGAAGTAAGTGCTGAAATACTAAAGTTTTTGGGAGAAAATGCAATTAAAGCTCTGTGTAACTTCTTTAACAGAATTTATGACACTGGGATATTACCAACTGATTGATTAAAGTCGACATTTGTCACAATACCTAAGAAACATCGTCCAAAGACATGCGGTGATTATCGGACAATAAGTCTGACGAGTCACGTTTTGAAGATCTTCCTGCGAGTAATACACAGCAGAATTTACACGCTGTTAGAGGACAGAATTAGCAATACTCAATTTGGGTTTAGAAGTGGCTTGGGTACAAGAGAAGCTTTGTTTAGTATAAAGGTGCTAGTACAGAGATGCAGAGATATAAATCAAAATGTGTACATTTGTGCAATCGATTTTGAAAAAGCTTTTGACAAAGTCCGGCATAACAAAATGCTAGAAATATTGGAAACAGCTGGGTTGGACGATAAAGATCTACAAATAATTACAAATCTATACTGGCATCAAGTGGCAAGAATAAAGGTTGAACAAGAACTGTCGGATGAAATAAATATAAAAAGAGGAGTGAGACAAGGCTGTATATTGTCGCCTTTACTTTTTAACTTATATTCGGAGGAAATATTTAAGGAAGCCTTAATGGAGACAACCGAAGGTATTATTCTGAATGGAGTAACCGTCAACAATATTAGATATGCCGACGATACCTTAGTCCTTGCCAATTGCGGAGAAGACCTTCAAAATCTGATGAACAAAATAAAACAGACTTGTGATCAGTATGGATTAAAACTCAACGTTAAGAAAACTAAATATAGAATAGAATAGAATATTCATTATTATTAATCCCATCAGATCACATTGTGATATAGGACAAGTCATATAGTACATAAAGCATGATAAACAAGTTATATAGGACAATTACATAAAATAAAATCAATAAAATATAGATTAATATAAATAGTTAGCAAACAAAATTATATACAGGATGACGGTATAAAAGTCGGAGATGCCACACTGGACAGAGTAGAGAAACTCGTGTATCTCGGCAGTAATATCAATGAGAGCTGGGATCCAACCGCAGAAATTAAAAGCCGAATAGAACAAGCCCGAGCTGCCTTTGTAAAAATGAGAAACGTACTTTGCAGTCACGATCTTAGCATTGACCTTTAGACTTCGTATGACATCTTGCTACATCTTTCCTGTCCTGCTGTATGGAGTGGAAAGCGTGGACTCTAACTGAGGCTATGCTTAAACGCTTGACAGCCTTTGAGATGTGGGTATACAGACGACTACTGAAAATAAGCTGGGTCGACAGAGTTAGAAATGAGGAGGTCCTTAGACGGCTGAGCCAAACAACACAACTGGTCAATATAATAAAGAAACGCAAGCTGGAATACTTCGGTCACATTATGAGACACCCTGAAAAAATATGATCTTTTACATCTGATCATACAGGGAAAGATCCAAGGTAATCGTGGTCCTCGTAGACGAAGAACATCATGGCTGAAAAATCTAAGGCAATGGTATGGAAAATCAATTACATCGTTATTTAAAGCTACTGTCAATAAAGTCACGATAGCGACTATGGTAGCCAACATGATATCCAACGATCTATACTATAGCGGTCATGGAACTAGAAGAAGAAGTGATAAATTTGCATTTTTGAAACGTATAACACCAAAACAAATTTATAAAAGATTGTTGAACGTATATAAAGAGTCTTTACCTTCAATTTGAACAGTACAAGGAGGCGCTGATGAAGAAAAACGTGGTCAAGTCTTGAAGATGGTCTACATGGAAGACTTCAAAAAAAATGCATTAACACCAGCAATCATAGTAAAAAAAATGGGATATGGATTTGAAATATCGTCAATTAACATAGAAAGATTTTTTACAAGCCTAGTGATTCCGTTAGGCAATGTGAAAAATATTTTGAATGAAGTTTTGTTTTTAAAAAAGATAAAAAGGATTTTATGCCCGTTTCATAATTATGAATATGACAAATCTACTACCGTGATCTTAAATAAAAGAACAAGAGATAAAGGACTGGCATGTAGCCCATAGTTCGGCTAAGAAGAAAGGCCAATTCAGAAATCGGCCCCAAAAAAGTGTGAACATCAGTTTTTTGGTATAAAAAGGAATTTTCTTTGGGGTACTTTATAGTGGTTAAACAAATAAACAAATAATTCCATAAACAAATGTTAAATATTAATATTTAATATAGTAATAGCAATCAAAGACAAATCAAATAAAAATTTGAAAAGAATTAAGTATATTTTATAAGTTTATATTTTATATTAATCATTATAATATATTATAATCTATATTGTGTCACCGCTAATAACCTTCTATGGGTGATGCGGATTATTCAAAAAAAAAAAAATTATATTTAATAACATAAAATATAATGAATTACCTTCTGATAAACTTCAGTTTCCAATGGCTCGGTCCAGCCCATATTTGATCGATGTATTTTCCATTAGAAGTCCTTACAACAGGATTAAAAGAATATTCTGAAGTTTGTATACTCATTTCCATAGGTCTGTAATCAACAACATGGACACTATCTCGCATCTGTGGGAGTATAGAGTTTGCTTGTCTTACTTCACACACATCGTCATCGTCATCAACTGTAATTAACATGTATTAATATAAATAATAGTAATAATGGAAACAGTCATTAAAAACATCATCCTTGTAGTGCAGTCGAAAGAACAATATTACTACAGTATTTCGAGGGTGAATAGGACTTTATACGTGACCAGAATAAAAAATCCAGATATATGGCACCATTGACATAATCGCCAACAATACCCCCCAAACATTTATAGACCACTTAGTATGACTATGAGTGTTAACAAAATAGGGGTTGATGCATAGTAATGAAAATTATTCACTGAACAGTGTAGTAGTGTCTGGGGGCTCGGGAGACTGAGACCTCGGAAGCCCTGAGGAAGACATCAGAGAGGATGTCGAAACCTTGGCAAAATGGACATCGACGCGGTTCAACCCGGAAGACTGGTGGGTTTAATCTTAATTTTTGTAATACTATTAATCTTAGCTCTAGGTTTCATTGTACTATGTACTAAACTGCAGAAATATTTCCGAACATATATATATATATATATATATATATATATATATATATATATATATATATAAATGAACTTTATTAATAATAAATAAACATACCATCCATATCATTGGTTTCAAATATGTCATGTATAGAACCATCTAATTCAGGTATTGGGAAACCATGGTCATCAAACACAACTGGTTGTATTTGTGAAAGCAATGAGTTTTCATTTAATCTGAAACTAGAAATATTTGATCAGCAACTAAAAATATCATACATTCTTATAAATAAGTTCAAACTATCAATACAAATATTTTCAAGTCAAATCAATTATGATCTGAAGATAAGCGATAGTTTTTCATGATTATTAATACACTAAAAAATATTTTTGGACAATAAATACAAAAAACGAATGGTGACAACATTTAAAACACAAAGAAATTAGTTACTTATTAATTAATCGTATTCGCTCCGTGCGTGACTGATGCGACACCTTCCGGCTTCATCTGACAATTTTGAGTCCCAATTTTCAGGTTAAATATATGACATATGTTTGACATTGTTAAATACATGCGAAATTGACAATTATTAATAAATTCGTTTTTTAACTATATTTTTTCAGTTTATGTACAAAATAAATGTAGTATTAAAAACTGAGTTTCTCAAAATTCATCATAATATATCTTTTCAACTCCAAACGGAAAAGAAAGCGAAAAATCTAGTACTGGCAAATCAAGTTTTTCACGCAAAAGAGCATATAATTAAAAACAATAATAGTAAAAGTTATGATATAAAAGCTAAAGTCATCTGCAGTTAGCTTGAAGCCTTATGAAATATCATTCAAGGTAAATTATTTAAATTGTTCCTATTTCAATTGCATAAAAATGAAATTATGTGATATTTACTTTTTCATATTAATAGCACGAATTCATCTTTTTCTTTTCTCTAATTTATATGTAATCTTTGGGAACCTATAAAAACTACATTCACTGTTTTTGCTATTATTAGCAGAATTAAATACGCAACATGTATTTGCACACATTTTTGATAAAACTTATGCGTAAAAATATTTTGTCCAATATTCCAATTTTGTCATATTTCGCCGCTACGCACGCTGGCATCGTTTCAATGTACCCCTACCATGGTCACGCACGGAGCGAATAGTAAACGCCAAAAATGAGAAAGTTTTGCGCGAAGGTTGTAAAAGAACTTGTTTATTGGCATTGGCCATGTAAATCATGCCAATAAAACAGCAAAAAGATGTCTGCCTGAATAGCAGATAACTTTGCAAATATAACATTGGATAAATTCGAGACTTTCGTTTCGTTGGTGGCTAACTCAAGGCAAAAATATGTTATTACATTGTAAGTACTTAAATGGCAGTCTAAAATAGCAATTATACATTTGGACATTCTTTATATATACTAGGAAATAATTTATTATATTGTCATGTAGTGATAACTATCTCAAGAAAAGGTTTTTTTGTATACAACTTACTTTTTTTCTTCTTGGTCAGGATCCCATACATCAACAATGAAGTCGTTAAAGGCAGGATTTATACTACCAACTGTTTTTGGAATTTTTATATTCTTCATGGATATTTTTTCCTCTTTTTTAACTATAGAATCAGACTCTTCGAAGAACTTTTTATTTTTATCTCTGAAAATAGTGATATTAAATATATAAGATCAATTAATACAACCTATAATTTAATTCTTATGGCTATGAAATGTTTATTATGTGGAAAACAGCAAATTAAATATTTTCTATTAAAATATTTATTAGAATTTCGTTTAAGATGAGAAAGAAGTAAATGATATTAAAGTGTTCAGAAACTTATTAGCAAGAATTTTATACCAACAAATGCCAAGGACCTTGGTGAATATTAGGTTATACTGGTTATGGGTATAGACTGCAAACATTTCTTAAAACTGTTCATAGAAAAATTTTGATATATATACAAAAACTAAAAGTGAAACTTGTCATAAACTTACAATAAAATAAAGCAATTAGATGTCTCTTTCAACATATTTGTAAATAGATTATCAATAGTTCCTGCGTCTGGTTTCACTCTAGTCGTAAAATCTGTTGGCTCCAATTTGGGTAATTTTCCAAGATTACCTTTGGGATTTTTGTTTATGGTACTTTTCACTCCTGTTTGGTTCTGTCTCTTTCTTTTCTTTTTCTTAGTAGCGGCTGCTGCATTTTCCTGTTCTCCCTCAGATTGTTCTCCTTCATCTAAAACATAAATAAACCTTAATAAGACAAGAAATAATAAATATTATTATTCCATGATGGGGTAGGATTTTCAGCAAAAGTAATTTTGACAGGTTTATCAAGTTATGTAATCAGGAAGATTGAAATAACATTTTTTGCTCTCCTGATTTGCTTCATCAATTTCATCACACTCTCATGAAGATTTTCAATTCCAACATTTCAAAAAAAGAATTCCTAAATCGAAAAAAAAAAAATTGAAATTACATTAAAAAGCATATAATAAGCAATGATGAATTTTTGATATATTTCTATAAATATAGGTCCATATATGGAAAAGTTACTAAATTACCCAAATGTATATCTTTTAAATCTAGAATGGAAAATGCCAATAATAAACAAAAAGGAATCTTGGAGTATAGTTTATAATCCTAGTTCCACTAACTACTGATAAAGTCTTAGACCCTAGCAAGCTGAATACATATTACTGCACAGTAGGTACAGAACTCGCTGGAAAAATTAATTCTTCTTCTGATCCAATGCATTTTTTAAATGGAGTAAACATTAAAAATTCCTTTTATTTTCTTCCCATTAACTCGACTGGAATAAAAAATATTATACAAGGCATTAAAAATCCTATGATGACATCCCATGATTTAGATGATATCCCATCTAAAGTTTTATCCCTTCTTTCTGATAATGTTCTGAGAATTTTAGCTGATGCAATTATCACATCTTTTTCAACGGGTCACTTTAGTGAATTTGCTTGAGTAATTTTCCATTTTGTTATAATTCTTGAAGGCATATTTGACTTGTCAGAGATGTGAAAAGGAAAATGATTACTATCATAGAGGCTGTTTAATGTGTACTCTGATAGTAAGGGAAATATTCCGGATTTACAGAAAGATAAATCTATGGAAGAGAAACTACCTGTTTAGATGTGATAGTATGTACTACTCCCTGAATTTAGTAAGTTTATATTTATATTATTTAGTCAATTTTCGATTGTTTTACCTCTTCCAAATGTGTTTTCGGAGCCCCACATAGTATTATGTGCATTAAAGTCACCTGCTAAAATAAAAGGTGTAGGAAGCTGAGAAGTTAAATCTTCAAGATTGGAACTTATTAAACAGTAGTTTGAAGTGATGTATATGCTACAAATTGTAATTTTGTAAAGATTTAGGAATTAAGTGGTGTAATTTACAGTCAATTGGTCATATCGACCTAGATTTTTCTATGAGCATTAGTTGTGTGTCTGGCCACAAGATTGGTACCTGGATTTAAGGGAAACTTAATATTTAAATTGTCCCAAATGCTGAATTAAAAAAAAATAAAAATTTTCAACTAAGAACAATAAATTTTCACCTACCATTATCTGCCTGGTTAGTATTCGCTACTCTTGCCATATTATTGGCTAACTTTAATCCTTCAGAGTGAACATCATCAACTCTGATCCCATACACCTTTGCACTGATGTCTATTGAGGTACTTGCTACCTGTAGAGCATCTTTTCCAGATTTTTGACAGAGAGGTTTAAGCATATCAATAATTTGTAATTTCCAAGCATTCTTGGCAGTTATTTTCTAAAATAATGAAAGATTAAAAGTGGTTAAAAAATATTCATTGCCTATGCTAAAATTTGCTAAATTCATAATTACAGTTTTGTATATTTTTATTATTATATTATAATATATACAAAATTATTTATGTGTTTAACCTTAAAAAAAATTGTGAAATAGAAATGGGATAAGACCAATTTGGATTCAGAACTGGAATAGGGACAAGGATGCTTTGTTTTTTCTACAAGCACTGTTGTAGAATTATTACAAACAACAACATAATGTTTTTCCATGCTTTGTTGATTTCAAAAAGCCATATGATTGCATGGATCATAATAAAATGTTAAGTTCTTTACATAATATTAACCTAAATGATAAAGACTTCAGATTAATAAGTAATCTATATTGGTGGCAAATTACCCAGATTATGATTGACAATCAAACATCCATTAGTATAAGTAAAGGAGTAAGGCAAGGTTGTGTCTTGTCCCTTATGCTGTTTAACCTTTATTCACTTGGAACTACTATTCAAGAAAGTTTTGGAAAACCTTCATATAGGAATAAGAGTTAATGTAGAACAAATTTCTAATATAAGATATCCTACATCCTACTAACTAATACAAACACAACTTACAAAGAGTCTTAGACCAAGTTAATGATCCTTGTCGAGAGTTTGGAATAAAGATTACTGAGACCAAGACAATAGTAATCCAAAAGAAGCAGAATTTTCCTTTACCTATAATGATAAATGGAAAAATATTAGAATAGGGAAACAATTACAAATACCTTGGCTGCTGGATTAACTACAAGCTTACACCAGAACAAGAAATTCAAGCGAGAATTTCTAAACTATGTACACTGCTAGTCTATGATGGACAAAGTTTCCTATAAAGCATTGAGGGCTGCTCCTTTCAAGATGTGTTACAAACTTGGAAAGGTATCCTTCAAAACCATCAGAAGCCTTGATGGCTCCAATGGAGGTGAACCTTCAGCATAGTAAGGCACCTTTGGCAGAACTTTCCGTTGCTATGAAAAGGTTCAATGTAGCTGTGATACAATAGCAAAACAAGACATCTATTGGGCATTGGAGGGGAGCTTATTATATAGTCAATCTGCCAAAGTCCTGAGGACCTGTATAATAGCCAAAAAAGAATTCAAAACACTGCTGTTGATAAATCTTTGTTTCAGAGAGTTAATGACAGTAAAGATGAAGACCATAGAGAAATATTTGTTGGATCAGCATACCTCTCATAATAATACTACCATAACACTACCAAGTAATTTGAAACAGCTAGCAGTAGATTATACGAAAAATGGACTGTGATTGATCATAGGCTGTGATACAAATGCACACCATCTGATGTGGAACAATACAAACACCAATGAAAGAGTAGAGTCATTACTACAGTTTGTTATGGAACATGATTTAAATATTCTACTCGAGGAATATACCTGAGTATATCTGAGTTTCAGGCATACATTTTTGTAATGGTGCACTGTGTAAGAGAAATTTACATAAGAGCTTTTAAACTTACATAGAATAATATATGTGGGTTGCCTGGAATGGGCATCATGAGTGAATGGAAGATGTACAGTAAGTCAACTGGCCACAGAACAATGAGTTTACAATATATGGCTTCCCCATGGAAAGAAAAATATTAACAGAATGGAAGGGGACATAATAAGGATTAGAATAAAAGTAAGAAATAGCAAGTAACAGATGAATATAGAATGAGAGAATGCATGTAGGATGATAGAAAACACCATATGTAAAACAAAACTCAAAATGGGCTAATCACCAACATAAAAAAGATTTTTCGTTAAAAATAACTACAGATTCCACAGGAGGACAGATATTTTATGATTACTCTACACAGCCATTATGTGTAAATATCATAAAAGATTGCATGACATTTATTACATTTATTTGTATACATAATTCATTCCCATTTTTTCTTCCTATTTTAAAGTTATCCTATCCCATCTAAGTTTATGGAAATAATACAACTAAGTGCTTGTCCCTCACCTCCTCAAAATTCAAAATTTCCCTTTTTGCTTTAAATAAACTTGAATTATAGCTATTTCGTGTACTTCTGAAACTAATATTTGGTGTATAAAGAATTCTCTTACGAACTTTCATAATTTTAGATGTAAAAATTAATAAACTTTGTATAAAATATGAAAATATGTAAATTGAATGACAAATAAAAATGTCAGACTAAATTTTGTTTTAAATATTAAATAATGCAAACAAGATCAAACTAAAACAAATAGATTATTGCTAATTCTAGTTTCTACTATCTCTATACCTATTTTTGTAATACCAAATAGAAATTGGACAGAGAAGAAAAGTTTCATATAATTATACTAATAAGACTTGATTTTACTACTGGTGATTCAGTTATTGTTATTTATAAATCACTGATAACTACCACTCCTTGCTAACTTCGATAACTGTGATCAGTGACCAGATATAAATTTGCAGTCACAGTCTCACAAATCATGTTTATATAATAAATATTCTGATATTCTCCGTGAATGTGATTTGGGGAATTTTAACTAGGTAACATCTGGGGATATATCAATGGTGAATTTTAGGAACTGAAGTATAAGATATTTTATGTTATTATCTGATATTTGTCTTTTTAAAACAATACATTTAAAATAATTTCATTAAATGTATTGAATATATTTTTTTCTTAAATAAAAACATCAGTGATATGTTTTTATGGTACTAAACTATATTCATTTTACATATTCCCAATCGTCAACATATAAACAGGGTCGTACTGATGTGTATCATATGATTCTTAAAAATATTTACTTTTGAAACTATTAGTAAGAATTTCTTGATATTTAATCATTAAATCACAATTAAACGAAACTCTAAAAAATAACACGACCAGTAAATAACTTAACAATAACTGTAACATAAATATAATACACAATATATTAACTTAAAAACCAACACAATACAATTTTAATTTAAACAGACTCTCAAGTTTGGATCTGTAACATGAGAATCTGTCTGGCTTAAGGCAATAAATTATATTTAATAGCCTCTTAACTAATGAGAAGGCAAATATCAACACATGCTTTTATTGATAGTTGGGAATTTGCTGAACAAATGAACGATACCTAGCACATAGTGATTGTGACATTTAGTTTACAATTACTGTGACCAGCTGTTGTAGAAGTAGTAGTACTAGTTACTGTACATAAAAGAATGGTGATCAGTCATCATTTAAAATCACCTTTATTTCAAAATCAATGTCACTGATCACAGTGTGATTTAAAAATCACCACTTTCATCATCCCTAATTTCTTACATGGATATTTTTTTATCAGTATTTTAATTTTTTTCTTACTCTTTCTTTTCTTATCTTTATGAAACATCATTTATTTTGATGCACTTATTTCTGAATTTTTTACCAGTCAATGAGTAAAGTGTTTTGTGGAGATAAATAAAAAAGAGTAGAAAATCAGGGGAAATAATGTGCAAACAAATGGATATTCAAATTTTCGTAGTTAGTATAATGCTAAACTAAAACTCAGTTGTGTTACTTTTACAATAAGAGTTTAAAGAGACATAATTTCAATTAATATGTCATATAGAGAAGACATTAATGAAGAATTATTGTTTTTTGGTATTGGCAGTATTATATGAGAAATGGGCTATGGATAGAGACAATTTAAGCAGAATTCTTGAGGAGGCTAGGACCCACACAGGGTTGTAAAGCCAGAATGATGATAATGATGGCATTGACTTCAATGTGTATCATTTTACTAAGTAAATATTTCAATTTTTAAAACTTCCACCCAAATATGATTTGTACTTGGATCTCCTCACATGGATTTAAATCCTATTGTATGTTCAAGATCTAGTTATTGATAATATGTAATATTGAAGTATGTAACACAACTTATTTAGATTGATATCAAATATAGTATAAAAATAGTGTATAAAAGAAGAGCTGATCTTACATTCTCTGCAAAAAGATGAGTGTACACCACATACTGATCCTTTATAAATGATTCACTCAAGTTCACAGATTTTACAGGTGACACAGTAGTCAAACGTCTTTGAATTTGCGCTATGCTTCTTCTGGCTGCTCTTTGATCGTCATCATTTGGTACTTCCACAAATGAACTGTTCACTGAAGTGTTTAAAGATCTCCTTAGTGGAGATGGGGCATTTGTATTAAATAATATTGTACGTCTCCTTATTTCTGAAACCATTGGGGTTGATGTCACCAATGGACTTGAAGATTCAGCCATCTTTTTGTATTAAAATATAGATTCTTTGAATATGTTTCACTAAATAGAAATTTATAGATGTTTGATTTCTACTTCGAACATTGATCAGATAAAATCGGTTGTCGTCTACGTAGTTTCTCCCTGAGTTGCTTAAATATGTTACCTATCTTATCCAGTATATATAATTACATATGTTTCAGAGGTTCATTTCAACTTCTTGATAGGTACCTAAAATATTGATAAATTAGAATATATTAATATCTATGAAATACAAAATTATATACTTAGTATCAAGCGTCTCGTAAAGATATACTTACGTCTTTGTATAAAAAAGTAAATAAAAAGCCAAGCTTTATAATCCTATCAAATAAACTAGCTCACCACATAACAAACCTAACAGTTTACTATTTTCAAATCTCTGTTGTGACAGTTGACATCTTAAATATCGGTTGTTATTTTAGGCATATTTTAAAAAATATTTTGGAAAATTTGTGTCAGAGCTTATTTCAAATATTTCAAGTCTTATAAATATATAATATATTTTTTTAAATATTATGTACGCATATAAAATATTTTATTTTGCTATTTCAATCTATAGTTTGGTTCCATTTTAAGTCTAGACTGGTTCTACTAAGGTTTTGCAGCTCCGGCACAGAATAAATGCTCCGGTCACAGAATAATAAACAATCAGAATGCCCACTCTCAGATGCCGCCTTTGAAGTTTTTCAGCACGCGCGCCATGTTTTAGAAGAAAACACATAACACAGACATATGATTTGTGAGGTTATGTAATTGTTTATATTTATGTTTAATTATATTATATTTAACAATGTTAATATAATTGTATAGTATGTCTATGATTGCCGTAAGTCAATTAAACCGGGTTAATTTTTCTATGCACACCACATAAACCATGATACAATAACTAACAAGATAGGATCTTCCTGTAGCACAAAATCGGTCGTGTTCGCGCATGCCGTCATTGTAGAGTAAAATTTGAATTCTTGTTAAAGTTAAATTGGATTTTTATGCAATATGTGATGAAATTACTAGACGAAAATTCATTAAGAGGTTTAATAATTACAATAATCGTACACATAAGGATATCTCCAAACTATTTATTAAAGATTATTTATTGATACATACAAAAAACTGACATTTCGAACGTGCAACTCTCCAATGACGTCACGACTTATGCGCAATATCTTATTTTCTTAGTCTTAGCTTGAAGTTTTTCAGCACGCGCGCCATGTTTTAGGAGGACACAAACATATGATTTGTGAGGTTATGCAATTGTTTACATTTATGTTTAATTATATTATATTTATGTTATTATATTTAAAACTGTTAATATAATTGTATAGTATGTCTATGATTGCCGTAAGTCAAATAAACCTGGTTTTTTTTCCATGCACACCACATAAACAACACTAGTTCCCTTTAAAATCCTTGTAAAACATGGCGGAACGTCTGCGCGAAGGAGATGCGCGTACTTAATTTTCCGTGGAGAGTGGGCATTTTGTTTGTTTATTATTCTGTGGTCTTAGTATCATGACATAAACAACACTGGTTCCCTCTAAAACATGGCGGAACGTCTGCGCGAAGGAGATGCGCGTACTTAATTTTCCATGGAGAGTGGTCATTCTGATTATTTATTATTCTGTGCTCCGGTCAAGACAAAATTTTGCGTGATTTCATACAAGAATATACAAATTTACTGCAAAAAAAATAGTTAAAAAAGAACAAAAAATCAAAATCACACAATTAAGAACTATTTTGATCAAACGTGTTGTATGTTCTGTTCACAGAATAATAAACAATTATTCTGTGGTTCTGTTCTGTTGTATTTAATGAATATTGTTTTTAGTATTATAACAGAATAAATAACAATCAGAATGCACACTCTCAGTCAGATGCCGCCTTTGAAGTTTGTCAGCACAGTGTGAAGTTTGAGTCAACATAGACTCGAATTGAGAAATATGTGACAAGCTACTACAGAACTGTAATTTAAATTTTTAGAGATTAATAATTTAGTACATTTGAAATAATTTTATCTATTCTTTAACTAAAAGTACGAATAAAATAGTGCTTAATATGTCTGTAGTTGCCGTAAATAAATGAAACCGGATTAATTTGTCTATGCACACCAGATAAAACGTCACAGAACAGCACTGTTACGTTTAAAACATGGCTGATTCTATGTTCTGTGATTACCATCGCTAAAGGGTATCTTACCCACATGTTATTTTTCAAACAAATTTATGTTCTGTGATTATCACCGCTAAAGGGTATTTTACACGTAGTTCTAAAGCATGCCTCACACGTATGTCAATAATTTCTCATAACAAACCAGAGATAATGCGGGATTTACACCAACAATAAATTCACGAAGAAATTCATGAATTTATTCATTAATTTCTGTGTCAATGAATTCGTGAATATCTTAGATCTAAAAGTTTCATTTACTTCAAATACATTTTTACATCAAGTGTCTTTATTTCAGTAGTACCAATGGTTTATTATTGAACGTTATTTATTTTTTAAGAAATTTATTTATTTATTGTTAAAGAAATGAATATATACTTAAAAATAAATAAAAAATGAAAATATCCAGTAATACTTTACCACTAGTTTGTGAGCTGACTCTTTAAAGTTTTAATGATTTATCTTCAAAATATTACAATTTGTTATATTAAATAGTAGGGTAGGGGATAGACTAAACTAAACATATAAAAATAAAGTAATCTTGAAATATTATATAATTTAAATGGTAAATGAAGAACCATAATAGCAGGAATAAAAGCTAATTTTAAAAATCATATTTACAGATATTACCAGTAGGATATAGAATCCTGCACTTGATGAATGCAGATCCAGGATAAACTAATGCAGAGCGCAGATATTGTTAGATTTGTAAAGTCACAAAGACTAAACTGGCTTGGTCACCTAGAAAGAATGCTGTAAATAATCGAGCTGTAAAATAAGTCCAGAGATGGAAGCTCCAAGAAAACAAAGCAAGAGGACCAAGAATCGGACAGGGCAGAATGGAAAAAGATTGTTAAGTAGGCCAATAGTCACAAAGGGTTGTGGCGCTATTAAAAGAAGAAGAAGAAGGCTTATGAATTGTAATATCTTAGGAATAATATCACACTGCTTTGCTATTTCTTAAGGGCTTTTTGGTTCATGCTTATTACCTATGTGTTCTTACATTATTACTCTTTTATGTTATTAATTCCCCCATTGCTTAATTTCGTTTGATAGCTCCAAAGTAAGTTTTCCATGTTTTCGAATATCGATGAAATTTTTTGACTGTCGATTTCTATATGGATATAATTGAAGCCTACTCAAAAGCAAAGAAAATTGAGTATTGGGAATAGAATTAGGGATCAATTTATAATTTATTAAAATAAAACGCTTACCATGAAACATATATAATTTATTGTGTTATAATTAGTATTATCATTATATTAACATTAAAAATGTGACATCTACTTATAAAAATAAATGACTATCACAGCTTGGAATCCATAAACGTTCTTTTGTTACACCACTTTTTTTTTTCAAATTTATAACTTCCAAAAATCATTTGGCTGTCAAATCATAGCCATTTGTATTGGATATTTTTATGTTTCCAAATCTTCTTTTTGCAGAACTTAAATCGCCAAAATCAGTCCACATTGGCTGTAAGTCCAATTTACCTAGAAAAACCTAAAATATTATTAAAAGCAAAACGATTTTTTCAAAAGATACAAATAAAAATGTTTTATCTGTTTATATCTTCAATATAAAAATATCGTGTTCGGCTATTTTATAAATTAATATTCCTTTAAAATCAGTAAGAGTACAGCTTATTTCAGATCGAGTGGCTTCCACGAAATAGTTAATCGTGCAGATAATAGAATATCTATTATCAGACCAATGCAGTGGCTTTGCAATATTAAACAAATTAAATTACTTGAAATCGCACTAATTACAAAGTTATTACTCACTTAAATAATAAATGGAGATAGAGATAAATGTCTCATAAAATCGATGAAACTTCTAATAAAACTCTTAAGAAATTAGACGACCCTACATGAAAATAATCAAAGAAACTTCCCGTAAAATCGATTAAACTTCTAATTAAACCGATGAGAAATTAGATATGTTCGTTGAGATATTAGTGAGGTGGTTTGTTTTTGGTACTATCTGATCCTGAATTGTAAATAGGAAACCCTCTGTATTGGAGCAGATAATGCTCTATTGTTCATAGATAAATAATATAATAGTAGAAATAGATAGGAAACTCAATGTATAAATTTCGTTCATTAGGCCCCTTGCGGCTGGGGTCAATACTAATCATCTTTTGGCGGCAAATTCGAATGAACACCCCTTACATACATACCCTTTAGCGCCTCTTGTGGGCTATTTCGTTACTAATTAAAATTTATTGGAATATAAGGATATAAGATGCACAATTTTTTCTAGATATACGTATATTTATTTGTTGTTTAAGATAAAACAGTTATAAAATAATTCCATAATATTTATTACACATATTTGCAGAAGTTAAATACTATTATTTTTGGCTTTCTGACAACTTACTATCATTCTTTTTGTAATTTTTTCCATGATTTGTACACAATGAACAATACAATAATTCACTATGTTTAGTTTTGTTACTAGCACAACACAAAAATTCTTTGCTACAATAGGTAACTCAAAATAAACTTTAAAAATTAAGTAACCAAATTTAAATTAAAATTACTAAGAATAAATGCAAACGAAAGTTAAAGATAATAAAATAAAATTGAAAACTTGTAAACAAACGGAAGATCTGTCATTAATTTGGATTGACAGAATTGACATTGCTTCGTTTGATTATGTTATTTGGTTTATGATTGGTTAAAGTCTTCGTGAGAGAGATAGGCTGTCATTTCTCTTTATTAACTCGCTGGGGTCAAAGTGATGGGGAATGAACCAAGTCGTTCATATAAGATTCCAGGCCATGTCTATTGTTGATCTAAGTATTCTTGGCTGAGTAAAGTTCATCTATACTGATCACAGCTTTTATTTTACTGCGATTTAGTTTTATTTCTGTTTAATTAATTCTTCCACCTTTAATTTTAAATTTGTTTTCTTATGAGATATCAAAGTTATATCTATAGCATATTACAGATTATTCAGGTAGGTAGGTATATCTATATATTTTAATAAATCCTATTTTTAGTTTTACCTGTCTTTTGAGATGGCACAGATCCTTTGCATTCAAGTAAGCAATTATGTTGGTTTTGAGGTTAAGTAGACAAATATCTACTTTTAAAGTCGCCAACAAAAAGGAAGTGAGGCACATCCGGCTGTGTTCAAACAAGGAGATCCTACTAAAGGTTAATTCAGACACATCAGTCACGTCTCGTCACAGTGATTGCGCCGAACCGAACAATCCGTCATACAAAATATTCTTTAATACAAATATGTTGCCGACATTCACACCATAGAGAAATAACAAATAAGTTATTATTGTTATTTCTCTATGATTCACACTCATCAGTTGACAAACAGTTTCCCAGCTGTCAGATAGTTGATAGTTCTGTGACCAACAAACAGGACCGGTTCGGCGCCGAGACTATGACGGGACTGATGTGTCTGAATTGACCTTTAAGGTCGATTCAGACACATCAGAAGTATATAACATACTTCTTTTCCATGCCTTTAACAATTTTCCCATTTTCATAAAGCTATATAAAAAAAAACTATAAACCAAAGTATTTCTGTTTTTCTAGTACACTTTATAATTCTTCAGAATATTATATGGTTTCTCCTTCGATTGCCAAATGTTTTATTACAAAAAGATAAAAAACACAAATACAAAATAAAAATATTTGCTTTATCTTACCATTGCCACTTACTTGCTTGTTTATTCTGCATCCCACTGTTTCTTCCACTATTCGAAAAATTCGAAAATAAACTAATGTTTGAGTCTCGTCGCACAGTCGACTGTCCATTCATGTATTTAGGAACATTCAAATATTGGTTCCTAATTGTACCTGCACTAGCTTTGGCCAAAGGTTCCAGAATATCTTGTAGGTTAAATTGACTTAAGTTTACCTTACTGTGTTCTTTCTTTTTATCCGCAGGAGGCAGCTTGATTTTACTTCTTGGACGAAACAAAATTTCATAAGTAAAATATAATACAAATTACAAACAATTGTGCATATACAGAATTTATTAGAAAACTGTCATATAGATATGAGACTTATTGATGTAGCTTTATAATATAGTTTAGTTGTAACTAGTAGAACAAGTCAACATATTAAGATTTGACACGGCATTGAATGCTGGAATTAAATGGATAATAAAAGAAATATTGTGGACAATAGAAGAGCAAAGGAAATTAAAAAGTAGATAATATGTCAATGAATAAGAAGAAACGCTGAATATAAACGAAAATGAAGCAGTAGTGCTACAATCAATGACGAAGAGGTAGAAGCAAAGATAAAGAAGCCAAAAAACAGAAAATCGCCTGGAACAAATGGTATACCCAATGAAATTGGGGATTTCATTAAAATTAAAATATGGAGGCCCTGAACTTGCAAGTAAACTGTCACAACTGTTTAACAAAATCTTAAACGACACAGAAACACCAAAGGAATGGCATAACAGCATCACAATCCCCATATTTAAAAAAGGGCAAACAACTTGCATACAAAACTACAGAGGAATAACCCTCTTAAATACAACGATAAAACTTTTCACGAGTATTCTTAAGGACACATTGGAAAGGAAAATCACTAATGCTGAAGAACAACAAGGTTTTACAAGAGGGCTGTCTATAACAGATGCAGTATTCATAATAAAACAAATAAAAGAAAAAGCTATAGAATTCGGCATGCCAGCGTAAGTTTGCTCATCGATCTGACGAAGGCGTTTGACAGGGTTCGCCTGTCTATATATATATATAGAAAATAAAACACCAACCAACATAACAAAGATAGTCCATAGCCTAAATAACAACAATGTAACCAAAGTTAGAGTAAGAGAACAACTCACTGAAAATATTTCAACACCGGGAGGAATTAGACAAGCCGACAGTTTAAGCCCCTTCATGTTTAACCTACTCGTGGCTAAAATTATAAACAAAGTAACATCTCTCAATCTCGGATACAGACTGGGCAACAAAAGAATTGGTATGGTGTGTTACGCAGACGATGCAGCAATTATTGCCGAATCAGAAGATGATTTTCAGAGACAGCTCTTTCATTTCTTTCAAATAAGCCTTCAACTAAATATGACCATTTCTGCCAACATATGACCCTTTCTCCCTTCCTAGATCATCTTAACTCACAACATCCGAGTATAAAATTCACAATGGAAGTAGAAAATAATCGGTCCCTTCCCTTTCTCGATGTATTAGTCACCTCCAAGCCCAATGGCCGATTGGGTCACTCTGTTTATAGAAAGACTCACACGAATCGTTACCTAGATGCTTCATCACACCACCATCCTGCCCAAAAGAATTCTGTGATCAACTCTCTCATCCATCGGGCCATTTCGATTTCTGAACCTGACAACCTTAGAGAAGAACTTGGCCATCTGCAAAAAACCCTTGTCGCCAACGGTTACTCCAAGTCCACAATTCAAAATATTACACACCGACATCTACATCCCCCTTTACACCCTAGGACGACAAATTCAGAATCTTCGGGTAATACTCCTGTGGCTTTTCTTCCGTACATTCGAAGTGTCACTGATAGGATTGGCAAAATTCTTCGCAAAGAAGGTGTCAGGACTACTTTTCGACCACCCAAGAAAATCTCACAATATCTACCCTCTCTTAAGGACCCATTACCGCCCCTAGCTTCCTGTGGTGTCTATTCTATTCCTTGTTCATGTGGACATGTGTATATTGGCGAAACTGGTCGTTCCGTCAAAACTCGGATTCAAGAGCATCAAAGATGCATTCGATCAGGTCTTTTTTCCCATTCTGCAGTTGCAGAACACTGCCAAGAAACCGGTCATTCCATATTGTTCGAAAAAACCCATATTATTTCTAAGAGCCCCTTCTTTTATTCCAGGAAAATCCGCGAATCTCTAGAGATCCGAAAAAATCCACATAATACCAATCGAGAGGAAGGATACTACTTGTCTCCCATCTGGAATCTCAGTCTAGAGCCGCCGTCCGGTCCCGCTACCACGATGCAGCCACATGATTGGCCAGCGCGCGCTTCTTGACGTTCGCGCCACGGAGTGTGCCGATACGTCCCGACACGACAGGTCACCGCGACTATAAATAGAGCGGTAGCGGAGTAATCGTCGGATTCACTCCCCGCCTCTCGACGCGTTAGTGTTCTGAGCTGTTGGACGTGAATCCCTGTCCTGGCATTTGGTTTTCACCTCTGGCTGCGTTAAGTAGTTGAGTTACTGTGACCAAATGCCCATCTTGGTAGTTAGTATTCGCCTCTGGTTGCGTTGAGTAACTGAGTTACCGTTGCTAACTACCCATCTTCCTGTCTTTTGATTTCTTTTTCTTTGTTCTCCTGAAGAAGCTACATACAATTGTAGCGAAACGTCGAGATGAACCCACTTTTGGGTCACTCACAAATGACACGGTCCAAACCCGGAAGACGAATAAACTATAATTCTGACTCTGGCCGTGGAAGCCTACGATTTCAAAACTAAATGTATGTTAGTTAGTTAGTAGTTGAGAACAACTCCATAGAACAGGTGATGCAATTCAGATATCTGGGCAAATATATATCAAGGACACTCGACCCAGTAAAGGACCTAAGGAGTCAGATCAACAAAGCATCCGCATTGTTAGGATGTCTACGGGAGATAGTCTGGTCAAATCCGTATATGAGCACAGATAGTAAAATTAGAAATACAAGCGCTAGAGAGCAGTGCAAAATTCAAGATATTGTAAGATAGGGAAGGCAGCGTAAGAGGATGTGGTAAAATCATGTAAGACGAATGGATAAGTATAGACTCATCATAAATTAACCAGAGGAAGTTTCAGAATTAAACAGATCGAAAGATCTCCAAGAAGTAGAAGAAGAAGAAGAAGAAGGGAATACGATAAGCTGCATAGGAATCGAATCTGAAGGTTAAAACCTTGTTTAGGCTTATGTTTCTTCAAGAAGAGGAGCCTGGTGAGTATGTGCTCTCAGCGTTTGAATAAAATTAATTGAGTTTTGGAGGAATTGAGTGTGACTCTCCATTTGTTACACCTCCTGGCAATTCTGTTATATAATAAATCCTGTCTATAAATAATAATATTGAATCTGATCTAGTCAACGGGTGGGGTTTTTCCTTCTTGTAGACTGTGTATAATTTTGGTGCTAGAATTGAGTCCTGGGGGACTCCAACTTGTGGGGTGAATGGTGTTAATAGCGTGTTAGTGACTTTGACACGGATTGTCCGATTGGGGAAATAGGAGTGGATTATTTATACGAAGAGGATAGGTAGTTCAGTACGACGAAGCTTTTCGCCCAGGCCTGTGTGCTAAAAATGATCGAAGGCCTTTTGGACATTAAGGAAGATGTCTATGGCGTATTTATTTGTTTTATTGAGGGCTTGTAGTATGAAGGTTGCTGCTTGAATCAATGCATTTTGACAGAGTGTTTCAGCTTTTTAGATTACAAAAAAGCGTTTGATCGTGTCCAACACCACAAGTTAATGCAGATTCTGAAGAAAGTTGATATAGACCAAAAAGACATAAGATGCATTGAAAACTTGTACTGGTATCAAACGGCACAGCTAAAAATAGACAATTCTATATCTAAGCCCATACATATAAGAAGAGGCGTTCGACAGGGATGTGTGCTTTCCCCTCTTTTATTTAACATTTATTCAGAAGCCATATTTCAAGAGTCTTTGGAGGATGCAGAGATGGGAATCAAGGTGAATGGAGTATTGATCAACAACATACGATATGCTGATGATGGTGTCTTAATTTGTGACAACATAGTCGATCTTCAACGACTTGTCACTATAATCGGAGAATACAGTGAGCGAATGGGACTAGAGATTAATACCAAAAAGACCAAATTCATGATCATCTCCAGAAACTTGGATGCATTTGAAAACTCCACCATAACACTGAATAGTAAATCCATAGAAAGAGTGAGTAAATTTAAATACCTGGGATCGTGGCTTTTTGAAGACTGGGCATCGGACAGGGAAGTAAAATGTCGCATTGAGCAAGCTCGACAAGCTTTCGTAAAATACAAGAAGGTACTGACTTGTTCTGAGTTCGATCTTCAACTGAGACTAAGGTTTACTAAGTGCTACGTATGGTCAGTGCTGCTATATGGCGTAGAGGGCTGGACACTCAAAACGAGGGATATAAATAGATTGGAAGCTTTCGAAATATGGCTTTATCGCCGTATCCTAAAAATACCATGGACAGCGAAAATCACAAATATAGATGTCCTTAAAAGAATAAACCAAGAACGCCAACTTTTCGAAACCATCAAGAAAAGAAAAACGGCGTATCTAGGTCACATCATGCGAAATGAAAAATACCAGTTCCTCCAACTTATAATCGAGGGTAAAATTGAAGGCAAGAGAGGAATGGGACGCAAGAAAATGTCCTGGCTCCGAAACATAAGGCAATGGACAGGGATTAACGACATACAATCTCTGATACATATTGCAAGAAATAGAGAGTTAATGAAAATGTGATCGCTAACATCCATTAGTGGATTTGCATCTGAAGAAGAAGAAGAAGTTCAGCTCTTAATTCAAATTTGAAGTTGGGGATGACAAGATGTGCGTCTAGGAATTCTATGAGTCTCTTCTTGTAGAAAAGACTCTTTTGTAAACTTTACCTACTGTGCTGAATTGTGAGATGAGATTTCCTTGGTTTGGAAACCATGACTGTGTTGGCTACTTTCGAAGAAGTATGAAAGTAGTTTAATAGAAGGCATGCATTGATTTTGTTTGTAAGCAGTGGGATAATATTCTCTGAGAGTTATTTGAGGCATCTTCTGTTAATGCCATCAGGGCGGGAGATGTGTCACACATAAGTTACACATCTGCCTGACGGTGTACTCTAGCACAGGTGCCACCATCTGAGGGTAGACCAGTCCTACCGGAAGGACAGATCATATAAAAATCGTTGAGTTCTTCTGGCAGGACATAACCTCTGTACAACTGGACAAACCACTGGACGTTCTGACATTAAGAAGATTTTCTATAATCTATCTTTAAATATCAATATACGCATAAAAACCTATCTTTGGTGTCCTCTTCTAAGAAGTAGAAAACTGTAGTCGCACAGAAGAATTCATACTAAATAATACTAATATATGTCACCCTAATACTTACCCTAATATATCAGCAAAATCATCTTCGTATTCAAAATTAGTTTCCATACCCCATGTAATTTTTTTATTAGGCAGAACTACTCTACTATTACTCATATTATTCATAGTATTAAAAACAGATGGTAGATATTTGCTTCCATAATCAGATTGTCCAAAACTGTATACAATAGGCGGTGCCTGTAGTCTAGACTTTTCTATCGCAGGCTCCATGGGTTTAATCAAAGACTGGATGTTTATTTGCACAGATGGTTGCATAGGAGGAAGATTCGCGTTTGATAGCTGCTTTATTAAAGAACGACCATTAGCTTGGATTTGAAGTTGAGGTTGAGGATTGGGATACATTTGAGAATCTTCTTGATCTATAGAAGCTTGCGCAGGTATCTTTTGAATAATTCCATTCGAATGAGACTGTAAGGCACTGTTGGCTTGGATTTGGCGGTTTGATTGTAAAGCACTAAATTGACCAACCTAAAAAAACGTTCATTTATTTATCCGCAAATTTTCTTTTCAATAAAATTTAATTGATAAATATTGGAAAAAATGCAAGTACCTGAAAATATTGGTGTTTGAGTGCCCCATGAGCTGTTGGTCTATGTCCAGGATTCCATTCTAATAATTCGTCTATTAGGTTAATACCGTTTGGTCCAGCCTGTGGTACTACATCACTGACAGGTGTTTTGGCAAAATAAGGGAATTTAAATCCTAAAGCTCCAGCCAGTTGATAACTGTCTGGCCACTTATTCTGAAATCCAAAAAATTGATTATAGCGTATAAATTGAAAAATCTGGAACGTGTCTACACTCCGTTTGAAAATTGCTGATATAGTAAAACCCATGGAGGTGACACTTTGCTAATATTAAGCTCCAGCTTAGAAACAGACAACTCGAGGAGTTACTCACCTCATCAGGTGTACCTCTTAGAGCACAGATTTTATATAATTGATCCGTTTCCGTAGTACCTGGAAATAACGGTCTGTAAGTATATATTTCAGCTGCGATACATCCTAATGCCCAAAGATCTATAGGACTGCTATAAGTAGTTGAGTGAAGTAAGACTTCCGGTGCTCGGTACCATCGAGTGGAGACATAGTCCGTGTAGGGTGGCCTAGATCTGATTTCCCGAACTAATCCAAAATCTGCTATTTTCACCATTTCTGTCCCTGAACATAGAATGTTTTCCGGTTTAAGATCTCGATGGAAAAATCCGTGGCGATGAATGAAGGACAAACCTTGTAAAATCTGTAACAAATTCAATTTTTTTTGTATTATATTTAAAATATTGTGTCAGATTGAAAACGCGTTAAAGAAATAATCAAGGAAACATAAGGCGTATGAATACCAAATATTGTATACGCAAGACAGGCCCTTGTGTCGTTCTGTGTCCCGCACTTTCCCATATGCCCCGTCCCGTGTCTCGCGGGACGTCACGATTACCCGCAAAGCTAACTTAAATTATATTTTCCATTTTTATATCAAAATTTTTAGGATTAAATTTTTTTATTAACGATTGTCGATATTGTTAAAAATAAAGGTAGGTACCTATTTTACTCTTATACATATACAATATCTTTATTAATAGTATTCTTTAATTAAATTAAAAAATATTTTATTTTTAACCATGACTGGATATAAAGGATCACAGCCACTTAATCCCCGCTGAGCCGGCTTCTCTCTTCTCTGGTCAAGCCGACACTGAAGGAGAGTCTTTCTGTTGGGATGGACGTAGCTAGAATTGATAGGATGTTCCTGTCCAAATGAGTCATGGTAGAAACTTAGTTTCCTGGTTTACCTTCCACAGTTTCCACTAAGATAAAATGTCCACGTTTCGGTCTTCTCGGTCTTATGCTAGATATAGATTCAGTTCGTCATCAAGACGCACCATTTTCTTGCACAGTGACAAATATTTGAGATCGTCTTCGCCACTAGAAGACCCAGAAGAAGATCCAACTTCCTTGTTTGTTGCTACATGATCGAGGCTCCTTTTTTCTATATATTTTTTTTATATAATTCTCTAAGATTTGTCTCTGTTTCTTGATTCGAAGGAATGGCCTCATTCCGATAAATAGAAAGCTTCCACTTTGTGGCGTGGAACGATTACTAGTGAAATACAGTACACTCAATGTGTTTTATTGTAGTATTTGATAATCTTATTGCAAGAAAATAATACAACAGTCAGAAAGCAAGAACAGATCAAACACTGGGTCATTCAAATACTGATGCTCAGTTAAGACGGCCATGTAGTGCAAATTGTAATCACTGTCTTAAATTAAAGGAACGACTTTGCCCTGTGAGATGAACTACCGTCATAAATGATCAATGATAGCTTAAACAGCTACAAGACGCCCAAGCAGATGATCCATGTATAAAAAGAGTATTGGGTTGAATGCATCGAAGTAAGAGACCTACTTGGCAGGACATTAGTGCATGTAGTCCAGAAGTCAAGTCTTACTGGAGTTAATGGAATTGCCTAGTACTAAAAGATGATTTTCTGTATGGAACCTTTGACAACGATGATGGTACAGAATCTAAGAATCAGAAGTATTGCATCAGTTACATGACGGTGCATCGGGTGGACACTTTTGGTATTACGAAGACTCTGCCAAAAGGTTCGAGCACGGTTCTATTGGGTGAAGTACCAGTAATGGTCCAGTTGGTAAAAAGAGGGCACCTATGAAACAGTGCAATGTTGGTAGTCCTATGAAAAGAGTAGAAATCGAAATTGCAGCATCCAAGAGCGCGTGATATAAAACGACTGGGATTTCAACTTGCAATACAAAACTCAATACCACATTCATTTAGTGGAGTCAAAAAATCAGCCGGAAAGAAATGGTTGAGGCTCTTTCTGAAAAGGCATCCGACGCTTTCAATGCGTAATCCTCGGGAATGTCATGTGCTCGAGTAAAATCATTTACTCCTGAAAATGTATACAAGTTCTTTGACCTGTATGAACCAGAATATCTTAAGCTGACTAACCCTGCACAACGTATATTTAATGTAGACGAAATCGGCCTTACATTGTTCAGCACAAACATAGCAAAGTAATTTCCATGAGAGGAATGAAGCAGGTTTCGTCACTTACTTCAGCAGAAAGGGGCAAGCTGATTACTGCTATTACATGTATGAATGCTGCAGGAGTTTTCGTACCACCATTATTAATCTTCCCTAGAAAAAATATAAAAACAGAGTTGATGCTAGGAGCTCCCACTGGAGCAGTCGCAGAACGCCATGTGTTAGGTTGGGTACAGGCCGATATTTTCACTAGATGGCTTCAATACTTCATAAAATTCACTAAACCTTTAGCTGCAGACACTGTTCTTCCCGAGAGAGAGCCTTAGCCAGAAGAACAGTAAGGAGAAAAAAGAGACAACACAGAAGCAAGCAAAATAAAAAATTCTACAAAGAAGTAAGACAACATAGGAAACTTGCATATATAAGAACAGCGAACTTTGTGAGGGATAAAAATGACAAATGATTACAGCTGAAAATAAAATAATCTAAAGATGGGCTGAATACTTGAAAGTCTTCTAAATGTCTAGGTAGACGCGGATGGAAATAAAGCAAATTGTGAATACCAAACGGCCGAGATAGAAGTACCCCCGCCAAGCCTGAACAAATTATCACGGCGATAGAAACCCTAAAAAATGACAAATCCCCGGACTAGACAATATTAATGCAGAACTGATTAAAAAAGGAGGGCATGAACTTGGAACTAAAATACACCAATTAATGAAGGAAGCCTGGGAACAAGAAATAATGCCAAAAGAATGGAGTGACTGTATCATCGTGCCAATACATAAAAAAGGCAGAAAGGATACATGTGGCAACTACAGGGGAATCTCACAATCGGTACTACATATAAGATATTAGCTTCAGTTGTACTAAAACGATTACTGCCATATACAGAGGAGATTATTGGCGATTACCAATGCGGCTTTAGGCCTGGAAGATCAACAATCGACCAAATATTTACTATCAGACAAATGCTAGAAAAGTATTGGGAATATAATAAAGAAGTACACCAGATCTTCATAGATTTCAAACAAGCATATGATTCCATAGATCGCTTAAAACTGTGGAGTGCAATGATGGAGTTAGGCGTACCAAAGAAGCTGACCATGATTGCGCGAATGTGTGTCAACAATTCCTTTGCACAAATTAGAATAGGAGGCAAAACTTCAAAGGCTTTCGGCATAAGCACCGGGCTCAGACAGGGAGACCCGCTGTCCCCATTACTATTTAACCTAGCATTGGAATACGCAATGCGAAAAATCTATACCAGAGTCAAACCAGACATAACTGCCAGAGGAGCAAAGATTATTCTCGCATTTGCAGATGATGTAGATGCAGTAGCACAGACAACACTGGAAGTTAAGGATATAGTATCGAACTTTGAAGAAGCAACACTAAGCATAGGCCTGAAAATAAACGAAGAAAAAACTAAATACATGGTCGTATCAAAAAAGGAACGACAGCGAATAAGACAAAACATTACCATAAACGATCATAATTTTGAGGTGGTCAAAGAATTCAAATACCTAGGAGCAACAATTACCAGTGAAAACACAGGAGAACGGGAGGTTGAAATACGAATACTGGCGGGGAATAAATCATTTTTTGCCATTCAACATCTAATGAGGTCAAAGCTTCTCTCAAGGCGTGCCAAAATCCAAATGTACAAAACCATAATACGACCAGCAGTGACATATGGAAGTGAAACATGGACATTGAGAAAGAAAGAAATCAATAAGCTATTAGTATGGGAACGCAAAATCCTGCGAATTATATATGGTCCTTGCAGGGACAGCGTGACAAATGAATGGAGGAGCAGATACAACAATGAAATAGAGACTCTCTTCGGAAAGGAAACATCGTAAGATACATAAAAGCCAATAGATTAAGATGGGCAGGCCACGTGGTACGGAGTGATGACGACAGACTGATTAGCAATGTGTTTTGGGAAAGACCAGATGGTAGAAGATCGACAGGAAGGCCTAGAAAAAGGTGGAAAGACGCAGTCAGGGAAGACCTGGAGAAGATGGAAGTAAGGCCATGGGAAATAATAGCACAGATCGGAATCAATGGAAGGCAATAGTAAACGCGGCAAAAACTCACGAAGAGTTGTAAAAGCCAATGATGATGATGATGACTGTTTCTTCCCGTCCTTGATGGTCACTATTCTGATACGAGAAACGTTGCTATAATAGATTTGGCCAAACACAGTCATGTGACGATTATTTGCCTCCCACCACATTCTACACATAAAATGCAACCGTTGGATGTTGCTTTTATGGCACCGCTGAAAACTAACTACGCACAAGAAATTGGCTTAGAGAAAATCAGTTGAGTGTTGTGTCGCCTTATGCCGTTGCCAGTATTTTTTGTAAAGCGTATAACAAAGCTGTGACGATGGAAATATCTTGCAATGGTTTCCGAAAAACTGGACTGGTCGCTATTTGTCGTCATATTTGGACTTTGAATTTGTAATTCAAGAGCACTTAGAAACACAAAACGAAAGGAGCGAACAAATAATAGAACCAAACCATGAACAACCAAATTATCCAATGCGAGAACTCCTAGTCCACCACTCCCTCATCAACAACTTGTTTCTCCGAAAGACATCTGTCCAATCCCTACATACAAGAGAGATACCACTAAAAAACCACATGCCAGATCAGGAAAGGTTCAGTAATTACTCTAACACCCTACAAAGAAGAATTAGAGCAAAGTTTGCTGAAGAAAAAAGAAAAAAAACTAGTACTAGTTGCTCCAGAAAAAAATCAGTTTAACAAAAGGTGTTAGATCAAAAAAACAGCAACGCCCGAAGAAGAAATAAGAGATGAAGAAGTAGGTACACCTTCTACGTCAAAAGGCAAAACATCAAGAAGGAAGCGGAAAGTTTCTTCGAGTTCAAGCTCAGATAACAGTGAAGACTTTCCATTAGCTGATTCATCGTCCAACGAAAGTGGAGAAAACGACGCGGAATGTTTATTTTGGACCGGCAAATTTTCCGACGATAGATATGGCCAACGATGGGCAAAGTGTTACCAATGTGGCAGGTGGGTACATGAAGACTGTAGAGAAATAAAGTCTAGCACATTTATTTGCCGTTTCTGCGAAGGACAGGGCTTTTTTGAATAGTATATCAAATTAAGGTACCTGTTTCAAGTTTAAATACCTGACTATCCCAAATTAGGGCACCTTTTATTTTTAATATTAAATGTCGCAAAAAAAATTAAATG